GTGGTGTCGCACAACATCCCCAGCAGGCTGTTCCCAGACTGGTACGTTACAACGGTGACGCCGTCCGTGACCTACCTGCAGGACAGCACGCAGGCGCAGTCCACGGAGGAGCTCCTCACCGAGTGCCTCGTCCTCCTCTTCAAGCTGGCAGCCTACGTGCCAAAAACGTTTGAGGTAACCGTGACCCCCCTGCAGCCCGTTCGCCCCCGGGCCGCAGCGGCACGCAGAGACGGGTTACGGGCACGAGCACCGGGGAGGGCTCTGGGCACTACGCTAAGAAATTCAGCACTTTGTCTTGTTAAAATACTACCACGCTTAAAGCCAGCAAACGTTACTGATGAAGCAATATCCTGCTCTCCTTGTTGCTGTGTACACTTGAGAGCAAAGAAAAAAAGTTATGTTTAGTTAAAAAGGAAAACAACTCCAACCCTGCTGGTCTTGGCAAGTTTCTTTCACTCTGTTTTTATTGCAACGGCACTAAAATTTACTCTTTGTCATCAAGGATGACAGTGATGATCTGAACAGCAATCTACATACCCTTGCACCCGAGCTGATAATCCCAGCAGAGACAGTTAACTATTTGTGCAACGCTGAGGAATTCTCAAGTCCAGAAGAGTTCCTGAAAATGTATTTAAACCCTTTGCAACCTGCTATGGATTCAGGTACACTGCCTACAGTGTTAGGGACAAAAGCTCCGTTTGGGGCACAGAACTAGATTGTGGTCACAGCACTGGGGTTTGAGCTGCAGGAGGTTATTGCAGTGCTCGAACAGCATTGGAATGGCAGAGGAAGTTAGTCTGCATCTGCTCCCAGGGAGCAGTTCTTATTCAGGGATGTCTAAAAAAAGGAATAACCAAGGCAGCCAATGATACATCCAAACTGTGGCACAGAGGCGGTGGTGACTAAATATATTTATCTTGTCACCAAGTACTATGTATGGTTCCTGGCAAGAACTTGAAGAAGTGCCCCTTTATTTCACAGATGAGCCTGAGGTCTCTTGTAATACCTGAACTAGGATGTGTTACGGAATGTGCAGCTCCATCCAGCTTCATGATGCTGTGTGTCAATCCTGCTCCCGTGACGAGTCTCCCCTTCCCTGCCTCTCGTTCACAGAAACTGTCTGGCCTGCCCCGGCACACTTCAGTGCGTGATCCGGGCTGGATCCAGCACCTCCTCTGCAGCGGGACACGGTCACGTCCACACGTTACAGAACAGATGCACCTTCATTTCCCTGGGCACTGCAAAGGACTCATTAGCAAAAGAAAAAAAAATAAGGGTATAATTGTATAACTTTCAGTGTAGAAATTGTTTCAAATGTACCACAGAAAGAGCAGTGTTATTTGGAGACTTGAATAAATATGCTTTCAGTTGACAAAAGACAATCTTTAATTTTTATAAATGCTCACCCAAATGACGAGTCTAAACAGATGTCCTAAGTTCCTCAAAGTTTTGAAAGAACTTTTAAAATTTAGCCATTTTCAATAAAATCAAAAACACTTCCACAGTTTTATCTGGAAACAGTTGCATGTTTCACATAAACAAAAAGCAGGTTTGGTTAATACAAATAACTATGAAATAAGGATTAAGTACTGATCATTAAGGAGCAATGAAATGGTTAAAGATACAGTAAGGTTCCTTCTACAGTATGACAGTCCTTCAAGGCACTAAAATACATCCACAGTTTTGACAGGTAACTGATAACCAGCAGTCACCAAGAGCACTCTGGCATTTTTTGGTTCATATTTGAACAAGTATCTGCAGCAAATCAGTGAGGGAATGTCTCTTGCAAGGCATCTCCTTGTAATGCCTAAGAACTAGAAATGAAAGTCTAACCGTGACATTAAGAAGATTATTTCCATAATACATGCACTTTAAATAACTAATGTTCTGCTGCTTCTCATTTGGGAATTTCTGCTAATACCAGTGGTATTAGCAGCTATTCGGCTTCCTATGCAAGTTTTTGCAGTACTCAAATTCTTTCGAATGAAGATTCTGAAAACCCTTGTTCAGACACAGATCATTAAACTTCTTCTGAATGGCCAGGTCACTGTCTCGGGGTGCACAAGTCAAAACTCTGCAGTTTGGCCACGTCGTCAAAAGAAGCTTCTCACTGTGGCGTCTGTTGGCTCTGCAGCGGGGGAAGCGGCAGCCCTCGGGGTTCCCCTCACAGAGCGGTGCTTTCCGTGTCGTTGTCCACATCCAGGAGGAGGTGGTTGTGCAGTTCTTTGCTGCCTGTCTCTGGAAGAAGCTCTGAAGAAGGATTTTGAAGTGGTTCTTGAATACTGGAATTGGAGTCTGCAGAAAAGGAAAAAAGAAAGGAACGGGAGATGGAGCAGTCTGGACAGGGATGTATTATTCAACATTGTGTTTCTGGTGCGTTTCCTTAGGCGGAAGATGGAAGGAGGCTTTTCAAACGCGGGGCGGGCACGTATGTGCATGCGCACACATGAACACAGAGGCGAAGCCAAACGAGTAAAGCTTGTGTGTGGGTTGCGTCCCCAACACACCTTTTTAGTCACGTACATAACACACAAACATTTCTTTTCCAAAAATGGAAGGAAGAAAGAAGGTATAATTTGCTACTGGATTCCTCATTCCCCTGTAGAAGTGATACCTCGTTTCAGATACTAGCATCAAATCAGACTGCTCCCTCAGCAGGGAGTTTGGCATCTGGATGATCAACCAGGTCACCACCACCAAAGAGGCTTTTAGAAGTGATGGGAATGTGCCTGATGTTAAAAGGAGGCACTACAACATCCCACCCCCTTCCTGCAGACCAACCCCCTTTCCTGGGCACTACGGTTTGGAAGTTGTACTCCTTGCCCTCTATCAGAGAGGGGCCAATGGCCTCAAATACTGCATGTTGGTGACTGGCTACACTATCAGTTAGAAAACAGAGAAATCCAGGGCAGATCACAATAACTGTAAATGAAAATATTGAGGCAGTATCTTTGAAAGCCAATTTATAATATACCACAGACAAAACCTGAATATTGTGTCTGACACAGACTGGCTTGTCTTGCAGAGAACTGTTAGGTGTCCTCATACCTATTATTGCAACTCTAAAACCCTATAACCTTTCCTATAACATAATTGCAGAATTTGTGTTTTTTAGGTAGAGTTGATCTATATATTTTCTCCTAAGTCTTGTATCACAGCCTTGGGAGAAGAATACCATATTCTGCCAAGAAACTGTTCATATTTCAGTTATAAATGTAAAAATCCAGAGGGCACCGAATAAACCATCACTGTCATTACGTATCATTAAATCCATCATCTGGGTGAATCTTAGATTTTTCTCCCCAGCCCTATTATCACTTTGAAAAATCCATGTCCTGGTTACTGAACTGTGTCCAGTCTTCTAGGAGAAGACACACAGGTCACACTATTTGTTCAACAGGCCTTTAATGGCAATGAGGAAAATTGAGATACTTAAAAAAAAAAAAAAAAAATCAAGCCTTTTCACTTCACATTTGTGCATTTTAAATAAATCTCTGATCCTCAAAAAGAGTTTTCATAACATCAGCGGCTTCCTTTTATCCAAACTACAGGGCTTATTACTACAACAGAAGAAAATGTAAGAATTTTGCAAGATAATTTTTTAAATTTGTATTTTTCTCTAGGCATTTTTACTATCGTTATCTGATGTAATATGGTAATAATCAGTGGCTGGAATGTTCTATACCACATTTGACTGTAGAGGAGGTAACACAGTCTAATTAGTCGCCCGAAGAACTAATGGGCTGCAGGTGATTTCCATAGCGAGCCCAGCTGGAAAGGAGCACTGCAGCTTTAGAACCAGCCCAGGAGGTCTCCCTACCACTGCTGCACACTAGAAAACGAACCAGACAAGGAGGTAACTGAAAATGTGAGGTGACACAGGAAAATATTCGATTGTGACACACGAATGATACAGCTTCTTCAAATACAAAACGAACTTTTGTAAAAAACACAAGAATTTCCAGATCTTAATGTCTATTAAGTGAAAACAAACATACGACATGAAACTGGCCAGTCGCAACATGAACTTTATACTAGTCATCAATGCTTTTAGTGTGTTAATGCAAGAGCAAGCGTAAGACGGAGCCTTTTCTCTCTGCATGCTGCACTGACGAGAAGGCAGGCGAGCAGCGTCAGGGGGACGGGTTAGTAGTGGGCATCAGCACACGCATGATTATGAGTTAGAAACATTTGGGGCCAATCAGATGCCTTTTCCTTACCATCAAACTTTCCAATACAGTTCATACTGAATGCTGGTCAAACATCTAGATTGTTTAATAAAATTCTTGATTAGAATAGTCCTTCCTAGGACTTTAAAACCATTAATAGGATTTGAAGCATTTCTAAAGCCCAGTGCATGGACAAAGAAATTCAACTGCATCCTGAAAATACTTCAGGATTTCAACTTCTGATATTATGACATATATTTATTCCCATATGGAAGACGAATATTTCTCCTGTTTAACTAGAGTAAGAAAGTGTGCTATCATTAAAGCTTTTTGCATCAGAACTAGAAAAATTCCAAAGTGAAGACAGAGGCAGTGAACCTACAAAACAGGACGTAGCAAAGAAGGGGGAGCCTCCTGAAGTTGGACTCATTAGCCATGTTTTAAATCTCATTTCATGGCAAGTTCTGTAAAGACCCAAACCCCAGCCTTATTTGATCTTCCAAATCCACCTGGATGCCACCCTGTGCCCCGGGTGTCCCTGCTGGAGCAGGGGGTTGGACTAGATGGTCCCTAGAGGTCCCTTCCAACCTCAGCCATTCTGGGATTCTGGGATTTCTGAATTCAGGCCTGATATAAATTGTCTTTTTATTTTAGGGTTACAGACAAAAGAACAAGCGTATGATCAGATAGGAGTTTGTTTGAAAAAGAAGAGGTGCTTTTCAGTTGTTTACAAGCTCATTTATTGCTAGTTTCTCTTATTCAAAAGAGTGTAGCTCCTAGCTGACTGTCAATCCAATGCTAATTTCAGCATCTTTCCTGTAAACTAAGGCACATCCTGAGATACTTCAAGAAGCCTCAACATATTCAGTCTGTGGTGGTTATATTAGAAAGGTATCACCTCTAAACCACTCTATAGGCACAGGAAGATTATTAACACATATTGTTTGGCAGTTGCAGTTGAATGGACTAGTACTATTAGTGAGGCTTGGCTTGACAGAATGCAAATGCAAACATGCCAGAATGCAGAGATGCTGCTGGGTGCTTTTCTGCAAAGGGATTTAGTCACACGAGCGTGTATTTTGCACAAATAAATCCTAAGTAGTTAAAAATAATTGAAATCCTAACGTGAAAGCTATATTAAAAACACACACGGCAAAACATTGAGAAAAAAAATATATATATAAGCTGCAACATTTCCCTATACTGATGGGAGCACACCTATTTTAAACAGGTCATTGATTCACACTTAACTGCTGGAGAGGCAGTTTTGGTGCCTTTGCGTCAACACTTTTTAAAGTGTTATTCACTTCGTTTAAGGGATATGGCTATTTTTATAACTTATTCAAAGTTTAATGATCACAGGATTATTTAAATAAGCATATGTCTTAATATCTTTTACAAACAGAATGATACGTGGTAATGAAATAAAATGCAGAGTCGACAGAGCACATATTCCAAAGCGCATATACAAAATAAAGCTACAAATAAAATATGGCTGTGCAGGAGCATTTTAGCTATATTGCATGTTTCTGGTCAGTACAAACCTTATTCGCAGTAACCATCCCCACCTGTGAAGGCACCATGGGGTACAGCTGTTAGGCATCAGAATATACTTTGCATTCCAAAACATAACTCTCATTCTAGACACACTGCAGCATCATTGGAAAGTTTTAACCATTACTGACTATAAGCAGATTTTAAAGCTTTAGTCTCTTGCATTGACTGCCTTTTCCTTCAAAAGTGCCTAAAATAAGCAGAAACTTAGCAGAACATTTGAAGATCTGATAAGCACTGTCATTTTTCCCCAAGATTTAGATGAATGTTAGCCCCCAAACTAAGAACTACAAATTTCATGAAGTTCCTAGAGAAGACAGAAAAGTCATCTGTACTTCATGTCTCAAAACAGAGAAACAAGATGGGTTCAAAACAGGGAGATGTATCTATAAATTGATCTATTACATTTAATTTAGTTGATTCTTCAACTTCTGGATGTCCAACTTAAAAGCATTGGAACGGTTAGTTTTCAAGGCTAATATCTTCACGACTAATATCTTTATTATAATGGGTACGAAGTGCCAAGACACGCTGTCTACTTATCCTCTGTGTATGCCCCAACACACTAACTCCCTCCTCCGATGATTCGCCTTTTCATAGAGGCCTGAGGAGGCTACAATTTTATTGCTGTAATGGTGTTCTGCTTCCAAAGCAGCAAAAAATAAAGCAAACTAACACACACTCCTCTTTGCTTTGCCCCAAGAGACCTTCACTGTGGAAGCTGCTGCCCAAAATCCTGGGGCACCACAGCAGGCATGAGCATTTTAACAGGGCATCAGCAACTCCGTATCCTAACTGTTACTTGTCCTTTGGATGCTCTCCAAAAGGACTAATTTACAGCTGCAGACATGAGTTCCTCTGCTGGCGCTCCCCGAGGAGGCAGTAAGAGCAAACATTGCACTTACCTGTTACTAGTTTGGAAGCTGTCTGTGCGGGGTTCGTCCCTCCACCGTCTCCAGCCGCGTGCGGAGCGGGAGGATGAGGCGGAGGGGGAACACTGGGTCTGTTCCTGGGCTTTGGTACCGGCCGCGGCCTCGGCAGGGTACCGGTGTGAGGAGGAGAGTGAGACTGGGCTGTCTCCTGAGGAGCCGGCGGCGGCTGCGACAGCGGGGAACTAACGCTGTGTTTTCCTAGCGGGGGAGTATCGGGAGGAGTCGGAGTCTGCGGAGGAGTGTAACAGGGCTGCTCTGGTCCGTGCTCGCCGCTGGCCGCCGGGCTGTTGGCTTTGGGCTGCAGGGGAGGAGTAGCCTGTGTCGGGGGCTGCGGAGGCGGGTGGCTGGGAGCCTGGATGGGAGACAGGCTGCTGGAGTATCTGCGCGGCGCGGAGACCTGCGCAGGGCAGCTCTG